TGTGTGTGTGTGTGTGCTGTGGCGTGCTTGTGGATGGAAGTCAAGCTTGAGCGCGTGACGGTGAGCACGTCTGCTACTCGTATGTGCAAACTGAGTAAGATCGGTGTGACGTTGATTCAACTGTTTGCCTCATGTTAATGCAGGTGACGTTTTACATCAATGGAACACATCACTGCATCTGGACTGGAACGAAAGTTGGATACAAGGGAAGCGAAATTTGTGGTGAGTCAAATGAGTGCGACGAGTTCAGTGCACGTTTTGCCACGAAGCCTTCATGCCTCACCATCCACCACCCGATGTGCACTGAAAAGTAGCGGTGGAAGATCGTTGAATTCGATACGAACAGGGCAAATGTCAACTTGGTGTGTCAACTTCCATTGCAGTTGATTTGGTGAAGGATGAAAAGGCGGATCTGCGAGTATTTCATGGCGTGTTCCCAACGAAAACCAACGTGACGCGTGAAAGTTTTAGATTGGTTGGAAACACGACTTATGTGATTGTTTCCGTGGACTACACGCAAAATGGTACGTTTGACTGACCGCGCCTTCGAGGCGAGTAAAGTGCTCACCACTGCACACACTCACTCACGTCTCCTCTGCATCAACACCTCAATGCACAGACAATGTGTCATCGGAGAACTGTGAGCAGTTTGCTGTCTTTAGGAACATCGCCGGAGGTGGCGGAATGCAACCGTAAGTTGTCCACTGCGCGCATCGCTTCCTCACCGCAGCGCACCACACCACACCACACCTCGCCTTACCTTTTCACCTACTCGCCCCCCACCTGCAGCACTGACAACCTCAATGGCATGTGTTTGGCTGGCAAATTGAAGTGTCTCTGCTATCTGTGGCGCCTCTAACCACTCATTGAAACATTAACTGAACGCGATGACTGTAGCCCTCTTCTCCACCTTGCAGGATGTGCAACGATGTTCCACCTCACCGGTGAGATTGTTTTCTCATCCGCACTAGTCTGCTTGTCAGCTTGCGTGATTGTCTGCCCGCCCACATTGTG